CGACAGGGGAGACCTAATGCGCATGCGAGGCAATGCCGCACACCCGCATTAGACCTCCCTATAGGAAAGCATTGAATAATGCTTTCAATGCTTTCCTATGGGGATTTCAGCGATGCTGGAGGTCCTCACATAGCGTGAGGACGTCCAGTGTTGTTATAACACATTTTTCGTGTTCTATGAACACGGAAGTGTCCTCTAGTGGCTGTCTAGTAGACAGCCACTAGAGGAGGACTTAACCCTGCAAGGTAAATATTGCAGTTTATGAAAACTGCAATAATTACACTTGCAGGGTTAAGGGTAGTGGGAAGCGGTCTAGGTGCCTGTACGGCTGTACACAACATCTATACTAAAATAGGTAAGTTCCTAACACACCTCTCTTGCACTGACAATTGCGAGAAAGGTGAATTTCATCCCTATAAACGGCTTTGCTTATTAGTGAGTATAGATTTATGCATATATATATATATATATATATATATTTAAGATCTCTGAGATTTACCAATCTGATTCATGGCATTGTAAAGTAGCTGGTCAGCTCAGACACATTAGATACACCAGATCAGCCCTGTGTTCATCAAAAGGAAACTGACACTCCTCCATTGCTGCTTAGATGAGATTACCTGCGTATTAACTTATTACCTACTTATTATTGATTAGTTAATTTGGAGGTTCATTGGCAGCTGGTAAAAGTAGCAATATGGTTAGAATCAGTCACTAAGTTTTTCCCATAGAGTATAATAGGTTTCTTTGAGCAACTGTTCTTTCTAGTAGTAACTGCCGGTAACTCCCCGGCACATGTTAAACAGCGATGAACTGCCAAGGGCAGGCTTAATTGTATACAATCTCCACTTGTAAGTTCATTAGTTTAATTAAAAAATACCACTCCTTGTTGCAAATTCTATGGCTCTCTTGGAGAGTTTTTTAACAAGCTCAGAGAATTTTTCACCCCCCCCATAACTTATTAGATATTTACACTAGAAAATATAATTTTCATGGAACTTTAACCTGACGCTAAAAATAGTTTGTTGTTTTTTTTTGTTTATATTCTTTTTATTGATTGTTAACATCTGCCTTTAAAAACATCTAGAGAAAGTGCATATTCAATGCAATCAACAAACCGGAATTAAACCAGGGTAGATTCCTAGTTGAAGTAGGAATGGTGCATTGTTCGAACACGTTGGCAGTTTAGCTATTTTTTGCCTAAAACATTCCAAATACTTTAATATTTTGTGAATAACCAAAGTGATAGGTAGCAAGAATTCTGGCATTTTCATTAATGAAAAATTGTCTATAATTCATCGGGAAATAGCAACTCGGAAGACTTTTTTAATTTGATTATTTAGGTCTAAAATGTTTAATTAAATTGTTAATTTCTTGCAGTTCACGGTCTAGTGAATAACCCTAAATGTGTGCAAGGAATATAGCAAGTTAATGACATAGAACATTTACAGTCGATTAGTCACATTGACCTGAGGCTGTAAAAACATTTATATACTGTAGTGAATGGTGTGCAAACACATAGCACAAAAATATTTAAAAAGAAAAATCTTAACCCCTTAAGGACCAAACGTCTGGAATAAAAGGGAATCATGACATGTCACTCATGTTATGTGTCTTTAAGGGGTTAATGCCACATAACACTCAAAGTGAAAGAACCCATTGTATGATAATATCTCACAGCACTGTCTGACCCAAGGTGCATTTATACGGCTGAACGACCCTGTCATATACTAAAAGGTTATACTATTGTTATGGGTTTTTCTTTTTTTCTTTTATTTACATATACTTCATTTAACACATAATCTGTTTCCTTTTCAAAACTTGATGAAAGGATCATTATATTAAAAGATAGTGTTGAGGTGACAGTTTCCGTTAAGCCTTTATTAATAAAGTATGCATTGAAAAGGAAAAAATAAAACATTTCTAGCACGTAAACTCCTACCTTTCGTTACCTGTAGACTTTTCTTCTGCTGCTAATGAATATCAATCTACTCTTTCCCAGCAAAGAGTAGGTTGGCAAAGAGCAACTTCCTAGTTTGTACCAAGCATTGTCCTGCAAGTGTTTCCCAATGAGAGGCCCTAGATAAGTATGCAAGGCTGTCCACATGATTGACCAATCCAACTCTTCTCATAAAGAAGCATTGGATTGACAACCACAGGGCAGATGGGATGTGTATGCGCAAGCCACGTGTACTGTGTCATTCTTGTAGCATTTACTTGCAGGAGCGATCTCAGCACAGCATTTTTATATAGCGTAAGCTATGCAATCAGCATTACCATGCTGTGTGTGCTGACACATATGGTCAAAAATAGAGAACATTTAAGCCATAAACCTGGAAGCAAGTGAAGGGCTGATTGACAAGGGAAGGGGGTGGCTCTACACATAGAACGAAAAGGTCATTGACGGTGTTTTTGGCTGAAATTCTGCAGGGAATGAGTCATTGCACCATAACCACTTCATTCTTGCACCTCATCAAGCTGAAGAAGTTTTGATGCTTAGAGTGAACCAAAGCTTTTAAACAAAGCTTGCCATTTGCTAAATATTCTAGTTTTCCACCCAAATAAACCAATAGCATACTCAATATTTGCACAAAATGTACTCACTGAAGAAGCAGTGTCGCTAAGTACTTATTTCTATTGTAGAGCTAAGAGATAGGGGCAAGATGTCTATCTTCTTGTTCCTGCCAAGATGACCTGTCATGAATTAAATCCAAATGGAAAAACCGAGGCAAAAATAGATGATCTGGAAAAATTCTCCAATTCAACTATAGCCACAACTTGGCTATTTTTGCCTCAGATTTGCTATAACTGAAATTACTGTAATACATATACTTTTTGTTAGTTTCTGTACATTTTTGTATGTATTAAAAAGTTCCTGTTTATTTGTGACAAATTGCATATTTACATACATCGAAAAGGTGAGACTGTGAAATAGAAGATTACCCATCAATGCATTTTCACACTGTTTTTTTTTACATTTACCCACATCATTCAGTACTGGTAGATTTATTGAATTATATTATGACAGAATTATAACTCCCATTACACAGAGTCAATACGGGCAACTCTCGACCAGCTGTTTGCTGATTGGAAAGTGGTGCTAATTGAACACATTGAAAAGTTAAGCACGTTCCATACATTTTTTATACATGGCTAAATATCTGGAAAAGTGGAAAACTTGAAGTCACTGCTTTTAAAATCTATCCCAGCTGTCTTTTTGTCTATTTGCTCCTCATATAGTCTGAAACCAATTTAACTGGTGTAACATTTACTTTTCCAGACTTTCAAAGTTACATTACAAACACATGCCCACAGAACATTACCAAGTACATTTCACTGTTGTATCTGCTTGTGGCATAATGTGTTGCTAATCTTTAAGGGGATACTCTAAGCTTCAAAACCACTAAAACGTAATTTTAATTTGAACTCCAAATACCGTATAAATTTTCTTTGGGCATGTAAAAATTGCCTTTTCTGAGAAATGCCAATGTTTACATTTGCCTAAACCATTCCCCTATCGGCTGTCAGTGACAGCATAGTGTCTACTATACCAGTACAACCTGCAAAAAGTGTATCTAATTGTAAGCTAATATTCCTAACTCTATGAAAGTTCCTCCAAGCTACGGCAGTTAGATGAACACATGGCGTGTGACCTACTGCTGCTTTCCTGCCAGCAGTAATATTAGCACATGGTGTGTGACCTACTCCAGCTTTCCTGCAAGCAGTTAGATGAGCATATGTTGGTGACCTACTCCAGCTCCAGCAAGCAGTTAGATGAGCACATGGTGTGGGACATACTCCAGCTTTCCTGTAAGCAGTTAGATGAGCGCATGGTGTGTGACCTACTCCAGCATCAGCAAGCAGTTAGATGAGAGCCTGGTGTGTGACCTACTCCAGCTTTCCTGCAAGCAGTTAGATGAGAGCCTGGTGTGTGACCTACTCCAGCTTTCCTGCAAGCAGTTAGATTAACTTATAGTGTGTGACCTACTTCAGCTTTCCTGCAAGCAGTTAGATGAGCATATGTTGGTGACCTACTCCAGCTCCAGCAAGCAGTTAGATGAGAGCATGGTGTGTGACCTACTCCAGCTTACCTGCAAGCAGTTAGATGAGCGCATGGTGTGTGACCTACTCCAGTTTTCCTGCGAGCAGTTAGACCTACTCCAACTTTCCTATAAGCAGTTATATGAGCATATGTTGGTGACCTACTCCAGCTCCAGCAAGCTGTTAGATGAGCGCATGGTGTGTGACCTACTCCAGCTTTCCTGCAAGCAGTTAGATGAGTGCATGGTGTGTGACCTACTCCAGCTTTCCTGCAAACAGTTAGATGAGCTTATAGTGTGTGACCTTCTCCAGCTTTCCTGCAAGCAGTTAGATGAGCGCTTGGTGTGTGACCTACTCCAGCTTACCTGCAAGCAGTTAGATGAGCGCATGGTGTGTGACCTACTCCAGCTCCAGCAAGCAGTAAGATGAGTGCATGGTGTGTGACCTACTCCAGTTTTCCTGCGAGCAGTTAGACCTACTCCAACTTTCCTACAAGCAGTTAAATGAGCATATGTTGGTGACCTACTCCAGCTCCAGCAAGCAGTTAGATGAACTTATAGTGTGTGACCTACTTCAGCTTTCCTGCAAGCAGTTAGATGAGTATATGTTGGTGACCTACTCCAGCTCCAGCAAGCTGTTAGATGAGCGCATGGTGTGTGACCTACTCCAGCTTTCCTGCAAGCAGTTAGATGAGTGCATGGTGTGTGACCTACTCCAGCTTTCCTGCAAACAGTTAGATGAGCTTATAGTGTGTGACCTACTCCAGCTTTCCTGCAAGCAGTTAGATGAGCGCTTGGTGTGTGACCTACTCCAGCTTACCTGCAAGCAGTTAGATGAGCGCATGGTGTGTGACCTACTCCAGCAAGCAGTAAGATGAGTGCATGGTGTGTGACCTACTCCAGTTTTCCTGCGAGCAGTTAGACCTACTCCAACTTTCCTACAAGCAGTTAAATGAGCATATGTTGGTGACCTACTCCAGCTCCAGCAAGCAGTTAGATGAGGGCATGGTGTGTGACCTACTCCAGCTTTTCTGCAAGCAGTTAGATGAGTGCATGGTGTGTGACCTACTACAGCTTTCCTGCAAACAGTTAGATGAGCTTATGGTGTGTGACCTACTCCAGCTTCCCTGCAAGCAGTTAGATGAGCATATGTTGGTGACCTACTCCAGCTCCAGCAAGCAGTTAGATGAGTGCATGGTGTGTGACCTCCTCCAGTTTTACTGCAAGCAGTTAGACCTACTCCAACTTTCCTACAAGCAGTTAGATGAGCATATGTTGGTGACCTACTCCAGCTCCAGCAAGCAGTTAGATGAGCGCATGGTGTGTGACCTACTCCAGCTTACCTGCAAGCAGTTAGATGAGCACATGGTGTATGACCTACTCCAGCTTTCCTGCAAGCAGTTAGATGGGTGCATGGTGTGTGACCTACTCCAGCTTTCCTGCAAACAGTTAGATGAGCTTATGGTGTGTGACCTACTCCAGCTTTCCTGCAAGCAGTTAGATGAGCATATATTGGTGACCTACTCCAGCTCCAGCAAGCAGTTAGATGAGTGCATGGTGTGTGACCTACTCCAGTTTTCCTGCGAGCAGTTAGACCTACTCCAACTTTCCTACAAGCAGTTAGATGAGCATATGTTGGTGACCTACTCCAGCTCCAGCAAGCAGCTAGATGAGCGCATGGTGTGTGACCTACTCCAGCTTACCTGCAAGCAGTTAGATGAGCGCATGGTGTGTGACCTACTCCAGCTTTCCTGCAAGCAGTTAGATGAGTGCATGGTGTGTGACCTACTCCAGCTTTCCTGCAATCAGTTAGATGAGCTTATGGTGTGTGACCTACTCCAGCCTTCCTGCAAGCAGTTAGATGAGCATATGTTGGTGACCTACTCCAGCTCCAGCAAGCAGTTAGATGAGTGCATGGTGTGTGACCTACTCCAGTTTTCCTGCAAGCAGATAGACCTACTCCAACTTTCCTACAAGCAGTTAGATGAGCATATGTTGGTGACCTACTCCAGCTATAGCAAGCAGCTAGATGAGCGCATGGTGTGTGACCTACTCCAGCTTACCTGCAAGCAGTTAGATGAGCGCATGGTGTGTGACCTATTCCAACTTTCCTGTAAGCAGTTAGATGAGTGCATGGTGTGTGACCTATTCCAGCTTTCCTGCAAGCAGTTAGATGAGTGCATGGTGTGTGACCTACTCCAGTTTTCCTGCAAGCAGTTAGACCTACTCCAACTTTCCTACAAGCAGTTAGATGAGCATATGTTGGTGACCTACTCCAGCTCCAGCAAGCAGCTAGATGAGCGCATGGTGTGTGACCTACTCCAGCTTTCCTGCAAGCAGTTAGATGAGTGCATGGTGTGTGACCTACTCCAGCTTACCTGCAAACAGTTAGATGAGCTTATGGTGTGTGACCTACTCCAGCTTTCATGCAAGCAGTTAGATGAGCATATGTTGGTGACCTACTCCAGCTCCAGCAAGCAGTTAGATGAGCATATGGAGTGTGACCTACTCCAGCTTTCCTGGCTGCAGGTGGACTGGTCTGGAGTTACCATCCCTTCCCACTATTTCCAATAACTTTTATCTCATCCACCTTTAATCACTAGCTGTACATATTTGTAAATCCCTCTAATTAAGCAAATTTAAAATATATTAATTTATTAATGTGCATGGCATTATTGATTAACTTTGATATTGGTTTACTCTACTAACAGACTATATTCAATGTATTAAATGTTAATAATTAATACCGAACTTGTTTTGGTAAAAAAAAAAAAAAAAAATGTAAAATGTAAAGAAACATTGGTTTGTTCATAGTTTTCTATACCCACAAACATACTGGAAAGGTATTCATTTTCCGCAATGACTATAATTTGTCCCTCAAACTCCAGAATTGATAATGTCCATTGATGAAACTAAACAAAATCTTTGTAGGATTATTACATTTTTTATTTTTATTTTTAAATTCTTTAGTTATCATCAGATAGTAAATGACAATGTTCAGCCACTAGCAGTGTTTAACAGTTATCATATCGCGCTTATCATATCACACAACCATCCGTCATTTTATTAGTATGTATGTATTCACCATCTTTACTATGTATATAAGAGGTATACCTTTTTTAATTCTATGTGTATGTCACAGCGCTGACAAACAAAGAGTTACTGTTTACTTTAACATTTTAATCAGGCACATGTACACAATATGACTATAGTTAAATAGACAGACAATACTGAGTGAATATAGACCGCCTTTTCAGACCACCAACCAATACAGTCCTGAATATGCATGTTTCTATAAGTGTACCGGATTATAAAGGTGATGTAGAAATGCTACATCTGTACTTTGCATTCTGATTTGTTAAATAGAAATGTATTTGTTAGCATTAATCTCAGACATGCAATGAGACAAGTTTTCCATGGTATGAATTTATCATACGCACTTTTATGAACAGCTTTCATAGTCTCCGTATTATCTCCACCCGCCAACCCTTCTCTTCCTATAAGCAAGGCAGTGCAGCTACTTTATCACTGGCAATATGGACCTTCTCCAAAACAAGCCTTTTACTGGAAATGTAGCTAATCAATCACAAGTGATTTAGTATTCTGCCATGAGCATTGCCAAATAATTCTCTGACATTTACATACAAATGTTCTTTGAATTCCTACAAAGGTTTCTTTCAATGGACACGGTAACCACATCAAAGGTTTACAGGGAACTCAAGCAAAGAAGACAATTTGTAAATAACCAATTGATAGACAGAATATCCTCCCATCCCATATAATCATATCGTTAAAGTAGAAATGCCTTCAGAATGATTTCAGAAAAGAGTGGAGGTCTAGCATCACATACCAGCACTTGAACTAAAAGGGGACTACAAGGAGGTGCCCATTCTGGAGCAGCGGTTTTCCCTTGGCTGGGGAAAAAGTTGAAAGCATCATGATGACCACGATGGCTACAGTGGTCTCCCGTAGAGGAAGGTTTATGGAATATCTTTGTCATAGATCAAGGGTGCCTAAAAGGTAGATCTCTAGATGTTGTATAACTATAACTCCTTTGATACTTTGCGTGCCTTTAGAATGACTAAGCATTATGGAAGCTGTCCTTTTAAAACATCTGGTGATCTACCTTTTGGGTACCCGTGTCATAGCAATGAATGTATACACTAAAATCTGGGATACCCAATTCTGTGATTCTACTCCCCCTCCGGTCTCTTCTTATGCAATTTACCCTCTGTGACACAGTCTAAAAACACTATTTTTTTTTTAAATATTGGAAATCAACCTCTATTAGCAGAATCCCAAGAAGAAAGAAATACCTGGTTCTAAGATATTGGTGGCTGCAAATATATAGTTGGGTTGGAGCAAATATTTTTCACTTTTCTTTCCTCCAGCCATTCAGACAGAAGGAGCTATAATATTTTTACTGGGTCTCATACATTCAATTTCTCTAAGGAGCCTGTGCTATGTATAGAAAAAGCGCGGTTCACCTCTCTGTGTGTATATGCTTATAAGAGATAGGTATATTATTCTTTTGCCCACTGTTTTAGTTTGTTTCTTCTCCCTAAGCTAAAAGGCTATCCAGAAGTGGATCCCTTGCTTACTGTGCCTAGTGAGCCATACTTCACTGATGAGGCTTAACAAGGCTGAAACACTTGTCTGGGGTGTACCTCTTATGCTGGCCTGTATGTTAGAATTGGCCTGCCCTTGTGTGTGGGATCAATCTAATATGAAAATGGTTCAGGTTCTCTTTGTCATGGCACAAGATGAGCTAAAACCAACTTGAGAACTGAGCTGGGACCCACCAAAGGACAAGCTATTTAAATTGTGTATTTAAATTATTTAGTATTACTACGCACTCAGTTTTAGAATGTTTATTACGTACTAGGAGCTTTACTGGAAGAGGAACCCAAGTTATAAAGTAATATAAAAGAAAATATAAAGAGTTAAAAAACAAAAAACAAAGCATAGAGACAGTTCCTCTTTAATGTGATTATAGGCCTTAGCTTTATCTTTAAAATAAACGGCCACATCCAAGGAGTACTATCCACACAATAAATCAAGTGTGACACGTGTAGGTAACATCTGGTAAGTCTAATTTAATTCAATAAATGTTTCAGAACGTTTCACGTTTACACAAAGTTACAAAGCGAAACATGGACATATTTCAATGATGGTGGCTTTCAAGAATGTAAATAATAAGATATCTAATATTTTAAAAAGTTCTTAATGAATTCCAGAACACATGGCCTTGATATGCATGGAATAGGAAACGAAGACATTTAAATTTGGAATTAATTATAATAACCGTAGAGATGAACAAGGCCAACCACATCAGCTAAATTTAAAGAGGAACTGTCACTTCCATGGATGTATTCTTACTTATTCCCCATATTTATCACATATGCATTTGTAAGGTTTGAAAAATAACATTGAATATAGAAATCCTCACTGCTACATTTACCTCTGTCCTGTACCTAGCCTTCTCCATCTTGTTTTCCATCTGTCTGTCATAAATGTTGCAGTCTTTATTCAGCCACTGAACATTGTTAATGGAAGAAGCGAAACAGTTTTCAGTTGTGTTCCCATTCTGTGCCTGGACTGATATGTGATGTCACTTACAAAATCTTTAAAGGGACACTATACTCACCAAAACAACTACAGCTTAATGTAGTTGTTCTGGTGTATATAGGCAGTCCCTGCAGACATTTTGCTGTACACACTGCCTTATCAGTGAAAAGGAAGTGCTTACATTGCTCCCTAGGGACACCTCTAGTGGCCACTCCTCAGACAGCCACTAGAGGTGATTCCTGGGTCAGTGTTGATGTTCAGCATCTCCATCCTCTAAATGGAGATGCTGATTTTCCCCATTGAGATGCATTGATTCAATGCATTTCTCTGAGAAGATGCTTATTGGCCAGGCTGGCATTTGGTCATGCACCACCTTCTTGACAACCCCTACTTTTCCTATTAGAAAGCATTGGATTGGCTGAGATAATCAATTATGAGGATGTCAGCCAAGGAGGTGGATCAGGGGCAGGTTCAGCCAGGGGTGTATTTTGAATTTGTTCTGCCCTAGGCATGACAGAACTCGGGCACCCCATAATTTAAATTTGCCCCACCCCTTGAGATCAAGGCCACACCTCTTCCTGTTAAAGAATAACACATGCTTTGACTGACATACACACAGACACACCCACTCACTGACTGGCACGCACTCTCAGATACACTGACATAAACTCACTGGCAGACACACATACTCACACACTCACTGATTTGACACAATCTGACAGACACACACAATCACTCAGACACGCACTGACACACGCACTGAAAGACACGCACACACTCACACTCACTGACAGACACACATTTACTGACAAACACAACTTCACTGACAGACACACACAGAAACACTCATACGCCCTCACAGAAACACAAATTCACTGACAGACAAACAAATTCACTGACAGACACACTGACAGATATAAACACACATTCACTGACAGACAGACAGACACATACACACACTCACTGACATACAAACACAGTCAGACAGACACACACACACATACAAACTGGCAGACAGACACACACATTTCCCCCCAACATTTACAAATAATTATTTACTTTTATTTTAATTTAAATCCACCCAGCCTCCCTACTTTTGGGAGAGCTGGGTGGATTTTTGCCTGGGGTCCAGTGGGGCTGCTGGGCTGACCGCTAGGTGGGCAGGCATGCTGGATGGAGAGCAGGCAGGCATGGGGGGGAGGGGGGAGTGGGTGCACAAAATAGGTGGCGAGTGAGCTCTGATCCTACTTTTCAGCTCCATCGCGTGCCACCATGTGACATCACATTCTAGTCAACCGGCATCACTAAGTGGCATGCAAGGGAACTGAGCAGGAAGAGCTCAGATCAGCGCTCCTCCGCCACCCGCCTGTAAAGAAACTGTCCGGGGTGCTCAAAGGGGGCCAGTCTGCCAACTCTTGGGCCCCCCATAAGTCAAGGCAAACAAGGTATTTGCCAGGGCACTTGGGGGGTGGCATTTTTTGCTGCCCCCCTGGAAAGTGTCGCCCATGGCAAATGCCTTGTTTGCCTTGCACTAAATACAGTGCTGGGTTCAGCACCATCGGACTCGCGTGACGCTGGAAATAAGGTACGCTTTCTTACCTTTCGAGGGGCACTCTTTCAATGCCCAAGAGTTGAGCCACTCACATTGCTTTTGGAATGTGCTGGCCTTTTTTCTGGCCTTCAAAGGGATAACAAAAAACGGTGTAATGTGTGAAAAAAGATTTTGTAAGTGATTTTCAGTGTTTGATCCAGTAGTGTCATTTCCTGAGAAGTGACAGTTTCCCTTAAACTACATATCTGCTTATTCTATTATAGCTTCCTGACTTCCTGAATATCATAGGGAATGTAGTCTACAAAATTAATTTGTGCCTGGATATGTGTATATTGGTTATAAAATCTCGGTCACATTAAATGTTCTTTAAATAGAGCAACTTAAAGCATAACAGCATTATGCTATATTTACGCTGTATATATATTACATGTGAGAAACTCAAAAGTCCCTCTGCCTGAAACTGTGGAAAAAGAAGGGCATCTGCCTATGGTCTATGGGTTGTGTAAAAAAAACAAAAAAAAACAGAAATTTTGATTGTGTTAAGTGTTACAATATTACACTATTTTTTGTATTCATTTTTTTTTCATTTAAGGTACGGAGGTCCTTGCAGAAACTAGTACACTGGGATATCAATAATTCGTACAATGTAACTGAACAAAAATGGGAAAAATGTTATCTGAAATATTTTAAAGAAGAAAATGGTTGGATGGTTAGAACACAGAATGCACAACCTCAGACACACTAAAGTGTCAATTTTCCTATAATGTTTCTTTATCTTCTTCGGTACCAAGTTTTTCACAAACCAGTAGAACATTTTGGGGGAAACATTTTTTTAAGCATGGGATAACAACAATAATGCTTTAAAGAGTTTGCATATACTCTGTGTAAATATGACAGATTGTGCCACCCAGAAAGCTGTGAACCCACTAGGCCCAGGGACTGGGCTTAGGTGTTGCATGACCACATAGAGGGAGTGAGATAAATCCTATTAAAGGGACACTATAGTCACCTGAACAACTTTAGCTTAATGAAGCAGTTTTGGTGTATAGAGCATGCCCCTGCAGCCTCACTGCTCAATCCTCTGCCATTTAGGAGTTAAATCCCTTTGATTATGAACCCTAGTCACACCTCCCTGCATGTGACTTGCACAGCCTTCCATAAACACTTCCTGTAAAGAGAGCCCTATTTAGGCTTTCTTTATTGCAAGTTCTGTTTAATTAAGATTTTCTTATCCCCTGCTATGTTAGTAGCTTGCTAGACTCTGCAAGAGCCGCCTGTATGTGATTAAAGTTCAATTTAGAGATTGAGATACAATTATTTAAGGTAAATTACATCTGTTTGAAAGTGAAACCGTTTTTGTTTCATGCAGGCTCTGTCAATCATAGCCAGGGGAGGTGTGGCTAGGGCTGCATGAACAGAAACAAAGTCATTTAACTCCTAAATGACAGTGAATTGAGCAGTGAAATTGCAGAATATGATCTATACACTAAAACTGCTTTATTTAGCTAAAGTAATTTAGGTGACTATAGTGTTCCTTTAAGTCCATACACGTTTCTTCAGTTGAAGGTATATATTGCCCTTCTTCAAGAAATCAGTCATGAGGTGAACCTCTGCTGTCATTGGCTGTGTTTATTATATACTGCGGCTCTCTGATGGAGTGTCTTATAAAGTTAATGCAACTAACACTTTATGGCCGTCAGTGCATGAGCCTCTGATGTACCATTGCTGGCAAGATCGGTCTTTCAGAGATCTTTCTGTAACAATACCCTATTGGCGCAGCCGGTTAGATGCTCCTCGCAGGTTGCGTGCGTCGAATGTGCTGCTCGGATATCCGGCCTAGCAATTTGGATGCTGCCCATTCTAAGGGCATATCCTTACGTGCCATCAATAGGAGCAACATCACTTCCAATTCTAATTTGGTCTCATTATTACTATTATTATTATTTTATATAGCACCAGCAAATTCCGTAGCGCTGTACAATGACGACCTCATTTCTAACCTTTCTGGGGTCACAGGTGTGACATGGGCAAATGAGAACCTAGATAACCCAATTTAATTCTGTATTGTTCCTAGTTCTGTGCCCTAGCTTGGTTTCTATCATCAGTGAGGTATAGATCCCAATTAGTGCATTTTTCAAGCCTTTTCTGTGTGCTTTGAGGTTTTGACCTTGGCTACTTTATAGGAATTTTGAGTACCTCTCTGAATCAGCTTATTCTACGACAGCTGCTTTTTTATATATTCTGACCTGGCTAGTTTATTCGTTTTTTTTGTTCACCTGTGATCCTGATCTTGGCTAGTACTCTGACTTCTATCTACCCTCTTCCTGGTGTTTGGATATAAATATTGACACTTTCTTTATTATGACAAAGACTTAACCGGTTCATGAATTATCTGGGTACCATATTACTATTTCTTTTTTTAACCTGTGGATCATTATATACCCTGCTTATTGCATTATCTGACAAGATTTTTTAGTAGATGCCTATAGGTATGCCCTGATTATAAGCCTTTCAGCATAATTTTCTATGTCGCGAAAAGTACGTTTGGCTGAAATATTTTTGCAAAAAAAATTAGGGGGGTGAAGAGGTGGACAAATTTCTGCCATAATGTCAGCTCAGTAAATGAATCAGACAAACCATAAGAGTGTGAAATTGGATCAATGTACTGCAAAATATACATATAATGTAAATATTATGTTTCCTGCCTTTTGGTTTACAAAAGTCAGAAAATGTAACCAATAAAGGTAAAACGGTCAGGAACAGTAAAAACAAAAAACAAATGGCATATTAAACATATAAATTTACATTTGGTTTGACTGATTCTCCTTTTCTCCCCTCTATGGTTACTTCTCACATCAATCATTTATTTTAATCATCAATCATACCTTTTTGGCAACACAGGTGGATTTCAGAATCACAACTCAAAAACAAACAAGCTCATCTATGGTAAGTTTTGTTTAGTTTGTGATTTGGCTACATTTCGGCTTGGAGTTTGGCAATTCATTCGGTCACCCGATCTGTCCAGGTTTGGAAGAATTGCAGTTCAAAAAGAAACAAATCTGCCAGTCTAATAATAAGGGATGTTTCCACTTACAGAATTAATTGCTTAAATCCAGATGTCATCTAGTTTGTATTGAAAAAATAATCAATGACGGGGAATAAGATGGAATAAATCTGCACATTATTTACAGCATTTATCAATCTTTGAGTCTTTCAAGAGAGCCCAGAATGGACATGAACTTACACCAGATTGTAGCCATACTAGAGAATGCTGAATGCTTAAAATTTACAACTGAGCACTTGAAGTCCGAAACCAAATGATGGAAATACAATTTCAAACAATGGAAATCTAGTTGAACCAAATTGAATCAATTGAAAATTACATCAAATAGAAGCTTTTATAAGTCAATAAAGAACAACACCTCCCAATTTACACTTGTACAATCTTTGATCAGCAAAGATGGAAAAAAAAACGTGATTGGATCATTTCCATAGTCGGGGAGAAAAGGTTGGTTAGTCCAATATACACAATAAACATTGCCGAAAACAATACTGAAACAGTAATTAAGTGGTTTCCTCGCTGTCCATTATTAACATTTGTCTCCTTGGCAATTGTGTAAATTAATCATATATTCTGGTACCTCCTATGTAATAGTGAGCTGGGGACTCCAGTTTGTATGGTTTTGTTAATTACGTTTTAATTAGCTATTTATTTTGTAAATTTGTTTCCAACTAGAACAGACTCGAAAGATCCTTAATTAGTTTCAAAACGATTGAAAATTGTTTGATACAAAGTTTGAGAACATTGCCAGGAATATACTGGCACCATATTCGCCAAAATGGCCACGTGTTTATATCAAATTGTAGCAATTGTATCCGTATTAGTCCAGTGATGCAGATGTAAAATTATAAAAGGGATCTCACAAAAGCTTGCCATTCCAAAATTCTGTTAATTATATAAAATATATATGACAGACAGACTTTATAAACATTTACTCAAAGTAAACAGGAAATACAAGGAGACTTACAAACAGAGAGGCACTTACATCCAAGTATCTCCAATATACTCATGCAGCCCTCTTCCCCTCTGGCACTTAAAGAAGAACTGTCACTTAACTGTGTTAACCTTTTTTGTCATATGGCATCACAGTTCAGTCAAGGCACAGCCAGGGCACACAATGCAAATGAGGAGAAGAAACAGAAACATTGTTTTATTTTCTCCTCTTCCACAAATAATGTTAATTTCCAGAAGGGGGGAACATTTACAACAATGACTGACAGGAAACCAAGATTAAAGCACCCATTCATAGACTAGATGAGTGGATTACTACATTTAATTTTTATCTTTCACATCTCACAAATACACAAAAAAGGATAAGGAAACTTGAAAATTCTGTGAAGTGACAGTTCCCTTTTAAAATATTTGTGCCATCATAGAAGATGTTCAGAAACAATTACACAATTAGAAAAGTATTTTTCAAAAGAAATAAAAAAAACTTTATATTTTGTGATATATGTTTTGTACAACTGTTCAACAGTTTATAACATATTTCTAATCATACATTTTAAAATATCTGCTTTTGCATTTCATTATCTTACAGGCATTTACGGCACATTTCAAATTTAAAATCCCTTTTATTGTAAAGATCTCCTTTCCGGTGAGACAGGATACAACATTTTAATAGTACACTTACAGGAGAAGCCAATGAGCAAACCAGGCATTTACGCCAATCACTTAGCCTGTAGACTTCCTATACGAACAGGAAGTAACGGCAAAAAGAGTATGTGACCACCCAGAAAGTGCCAAGGATGCATGCGCAACACGTGAGGTTTTCCGTTTTGGTGGCAAAGAGTGAAAGGAGATATACACTACACACACCCACAGGAAAATAATTGTTTTACCTAAAATCAAGGAGGCCCAGAGGCCCAAAGTGACACTCAGCAAGTTCCAGTATTAGCCATGGAGAATAATGATGTTTGGTATGCTGCAAAGAATCATGGGATATCAAGAGTGCTAAGTACATAAGGTAGAACACTTGGTATTGCTGCTAACCCAAAGCCCTATTTTCTTGAACAGATTTGGCCCAAGGCAAAGTTTGGCCCTTTAATTCACAGATTTTAATCATTTTTGCGCAATTATTTTCTTGTCCAATAAATGCTGGTAACAATGTTTCACTTTACTTTCAACAAATAAAAAAAATATACCCGCTCAGAATAAATGCATTAAATATCAGGCAGTTTGCCTCTTTTGAAACAAAACTGTCCACATGTAACCTCCCCTTTTACTTTGCTGGCATTGTTAAAATTTTAAGATTATCTATATATACATCTTATAAAGATTATAAAAATCATGATTTCCATGGCACTGTCAATATATTAAAGTCACCACCTCGTGTATGTATAACACCTTTCGTAAAGCTCAAGTTAAAAAAAATAAAAAATTAAGTTGTAGGCCCAAGAGCAACTATATTTCATAGTTTCGACTTTCTTCCTTTCTAATTACCTTTTATAGCAGGGATGTCCAAATCCAGTGCTATCAGACCACAGTTATACCAGAGGACTTAATCATTGAATAGTAAGATGCGGTAAGTTCACAATTAAGGGGTTATTCACTAAAAAGGGAGAATTTAAAGTGAATTCAATGTGAATTTCAAATTTAAGGCAAAGTATCTAAGCTAGATACATAGCTGACTTTGTGAAATTTTCCAATTTGGCTATTTTTGGCTTAAATATTAAATTAACTTTGAATAACCCTGTTAATTTGTTAATTAATATTTAACATTTTGGCTTACATTTTGCAACTCACTTGTGAATCAATTTACCACTAGTATATGAATTGTTTTAATGATTGCCAAAAATACCTGTATAAATTAGTTTGGAAAGACAAGCATTATGCATCCATCTAACTGATTCTGGTAGGACTGCGGCCCATAGTACCAGATTTGACACACGTTACATAGATTTAGTTTCCAGTGCAGTCTTCGACTTAAAGATGGCTGACATTTTAGAATCAGTCCACCATTTGCACAGACAATTTCACATCTACAATATAGGTTGATTACTAACGTGAATTCAAAGTGAATCTCAAACTTTGGGCCAAAACAGTCAAGTTGAAGTTTTCCAATTCAACCATTGTGGCCTAAAATGATAAACTTATTTTCAATTCACTTTAAATTCCTAATTATTCACACTTTAGAATTGTGAATTCATTTTATTGCAGTGAAACTATTTGATTGCTGTTGTAGTCCATTTGCAATTCTCTAGCTGCTGCAAAACTGCTACTTTAATGACTCTCAGCCAGCCAACTGCAACATGCCGTAGAGGATGGCTGGCGATAGAGCATATGAATTTAGAACATAAGCAACTGAAGGACAATAGACTGCCCACCCCATCATAAGAGTAAGCTACTGTACAGCTGAAAAGCATTGGAATAATAAAAATAACATTAATAATAATAAATTCAATAAAGACAAAAAATAGATACTCTTTACATTATCAGTGCATCTTTTTTATACAATGGAAAAAAAAATAAAACATAAAATTATATTCATCTGAATACTCTGGCGTTAATGGCGATTTGTTTTGTCTGTTTTTAGGTTCTTTGATACAGTTCTCTGTTTGTAATCCTCCCCAGAACCAAAGTCCACAGTGTCGTGATGGTTGGAAAACTCTTGAGGTAACGGAAATTCCTCTGCTGATGAATGAGATCTGCGTCCAAACACTTTATCCTGCAGTTCAGCAATGTCATTCCGAATGTCGGCCATCATTAAAAGTAGGAAGTCGAAGGACCCTGGGGGACCCTGGAAATAACAGAAATATTTCAGAACTTGTCCTACATAGCATAGACAAGAGTGGATTAACATGTAAAATGCCAGAAATATTGCGAGGGACGTACATTGTTAAGTGTTGACTTTGCTTATATCAAAAACATTGCATTGGAGATTAAGTCTGTTTGTTCTTCTAAATAAATGTTAACAACAAAAAGATAAAACATGGTATAAGCCTTGAATGCTACGCAAGATAAATATGCCTGATCTCAAACATAAGTGATATAATAATATTTGGATGATAAACTGTAGGAAAAAACAATGGCAAAGGACAATAGTATTAACAAACAGTGCAATGCATTATTAATAAATACTGTTTTACATGGTCATTAGTGCTAAGGACACAGTGGTTGGCAGAGTGTGGAC